AGTCTGTATCCAAATGTCGTCAACATCCCGAAGTCACAAATCTCTCTCCCTCTCTCTCGTAGTCTGCCGATACGGAGAAGTCAGGTAGCTGGAGGCTCAGGAAGAGATGGTGGACTGGAGGATAGGAAGAAGAAGAAGAACTCTCTCTCTCTCTCTCTCTCTCTCTCTCTCTCTCTCTCTCTCTCTCTCTCTCTCTCTCTCTCTCTCTCTTCGTGTGTACCAAGTACTCTGTGAAGGTGGCGCCTTGTTGCAGGTACATCGAAGACGAAGCTGGAGCTATAACGCCACAGGTAAGCTCCCAGGTAAGTGTCCCTGGCCTCCGCCACTTCCTCTCTCCCAACGCTAAGATCCTAGCAGTGCCCAGCTCTGAAGACTACTCCTATCGCTATCTACTACTATTGCAGCGCTCCTGCAGAGTGCTGCTGCAGAATCCTGAAGACTGCCTCCTCAACTGCCTCCTGCCTGCAGTCTGCAGGGCGGACCAGTACTATATAGTACTGGTCCGACTGGGAGGCTGCTCTTGCCAGTGCCGAATCGTGCCAGACCCTGGCGCTGAAGTTCAAAAAAAGGGTTGTCGTGAAACAAGCACTAAAAGTGACCTGTGCTTATCCCTGGTCTGGCCCAAGTTTCAGGAAAGGTCGACTTTATGAGGGCCTGAAAATGGCCCTCCTTTTTAGGCTTTTAGGCTGAAACGACACAGGGCCTGGAGGGCCCTTATTCCGCCTGGTCGGGCCCTGCAGGCCCGTGTGGTGCGCAGCATGCCACACCCCCAGCTCCTTGAAAGACCGAGCTTACCTGCGAGGGCGAAGCTGCTTGCCGTAGGGAGGAACCAATATCCGGGTGGGAGGGGCGAGTCGTGAAACTTCCTTAGCTAGTCTTTGTCGTTCGTAGTGAGCGTAGATAAAAGGTGCGGATGCTTGCAAATCCGCTTGTGAAATCCATCGAGTTTTGTCAGGTTCGCATGCTTTGAAGGTAACTTTGTACTGTCGAGGCCTGTTGTCCTGCTTGCGATCCGTGATGACGCAGACTTCTTGATGACCATCCATGGAAGGAGGGTCTTGCGATCGCCGGCCCGGGAAATCGTCACTCTTAGTCGGTATATATGTCGCCAGCTTCGAGGCGTGAAAGACTGGGTGGACCGGCAGATGTGGAGGGATGTCGATCACAAAAGATAGGCCGTCGGGCTTGTCGCCTGCGGCTGAAAGGACGGTCCATGGTCCAAACCACTTGGGGAGTAGCTTGCATGAAACATCCTGTTCAAGTGCAAACTCTTCCCTTGTACTTCCTCTGACATGGCACACGACGCGTGTTGGCTTGCTGCTGCATGCAAATTTGAGCCTTGTGCATGTTCGCACGGGCTTGAGTCAGCAATTCCCTGTACTTTTGGACAGAGGCGGGAGAGCAAGCAACGTTGATGTCGGCAGTTCGTGGGAGGAGAAGATCAGTGAAGATATGGCCTTTCCGACCACCGTGGTGCAAGTTAAATGGAGTCACGCTGATTGCCAGATGCAACGAAGTGTCGTAGGCGAACTCGATGTTGGGGCGGTGGTCAACCCAGTCCTTCTGATCCGGATGCATGAGCGTACGAAGCATCATTTGAGCAATCTGATGTGCTCTCTTTGTTTGCCCGCCCGTTTGTGGGTGTCGAGCCGAACTTGGTTTCATTTCGGTGTCGGACTCCTTTCGTGAGGGAAGTCCAAAATGACGACTTGAACCGGGTGTCGAGGTCGTTGACGATGTCTTCCGGAACACTGTGACTGCAAATCCAGCCGGTGTGCTAGAGTCGCGCGAGCTCGGTAGTCGTGGCGTAGTACTTACATGTAAGAAACCGCGCGAACTTACTCAAATGGCTCGAGGCGGTCGTGGGGAAACGGGCCGTGAAAATGCTGTCGTGCCCGAGGCGGTCGCGCGGAAACGGGCCGGTGACGTCCATAGCAATGGAGAGGCCGGGTTCCCGGGGAATAGGCAACGGGTGCGCGTAGGGATTGTAGTTGCGGGGCTTGCTTCGTCGGTAAACTTGGCAAGAGTCGCAATACCGAGTGACATCGGTGATGACGTCGGGCCACCGAAATCATTGTTGAAGTCGTGCAATAGTCCAATTGACTCCGAAATGGTCGGCGAGTTGCAAGTCATGGTACTCGTCGAGAAGGCAAGTTCGAAGACGACGGTCTCGTGGGACGCAGAGTAAGTCCTTGCCTCGCGAGTGGAGAAGAAGGTACCCGTCGACGATGCGATAATTGATGGGCAGCATGTGATCCGAAGATAATTGTGCATATAGCGTGGCGAAATCCGGATCAGATTGGTGGCCCCGAATGAAATGTCGCGGGAGTTCCTCGTCGAATGCGAAGTGTCATAGCACAAAGATCGGGTCTTCGCGAGTGTGCATCTACTGCGCAATTGGAGAGGTCGACGAGATGTTTCGGTGGGAAGTCAAATTGGTCGATGAAATACATCCATCGTCCGATAGTGCTTCTTACCGCATCTTGCGCCTTGTAGTAGGTCAACGGGTTGTTATCAGTGACTGATGTGAACCTACGACGCCCAAGGAGGAAGTGCCGCCATCGCTTGAGAGCCATCACGAACGTGAGCAGCTCCTTCTTCCTTGCATCATCAATTGAGTTGATGGGAGGCACCTTGTGGCTGAAGTACTCCACGGGATGCCAGTCGTCGTCGTCGTGTTGTTCCAAGACTGCCCCAATACCATAGCCGGAGGTGTCGGTTGTTACTCTCGTTGGCAAGGTGGGGTCGTAGATGCTAAGGACGGAAGCCATGAGCATGGCCGTCTTGAGTGCTTGGAATGACCGGCGCGCTTCGTCGTCGAATACGAATGGCACCTTTGGCGATTGTAATCTCGACAATGGTGCGGCAATCCTTGAGTACCCAGTGATGAAGCATTGGTAGTAGCTTGCCAACCCCATGAATGAACAATCGTTCGTGGTGTTGGTGGGCTTGGGCCATACGTGGATGGCCTCAATCTTGTCCGCGAGCGGACAGATGCCTTGCGGCGTCACGTAATGGCCCAAGTATTCGAGCTCCCGCTGCGCGAATTCACATTTGTCACGGTTGGATTTGTACTTGGCTTGTCGTAGCCACTCCAAAATGGTGTGCAGGTGGTCCACATGCTCGTCCAAACTCGGTTGTATACCAAGATATCGTCGTCGAGGTAGATGAGTACAAACCTGTCCAACATGTGTCGGAACTCCGTCATCATAGCCACTTGGAACATGGTCGGAGCATTCGTAAGGCCAAAAGGCATGACCAGCCATTCGAAATGTCCGTAACGCGTTTTGAACGCGGTCTTGTAGCGGTCCTCCCGGTGGATCTCGAGTTGGTGATATCCCGATTTGAGGTCAAGTTTGGAGAAAAATTTAGCGCCGCCCAACCATTCGAGGAGGTCGTTGATTCGCGGAAGAGGGTCAGACGTTCTTGACGGTTTGCGCATTGAGCTTGCGATAATCGATGCACAACCGCGAGTCCTTGTTCTTCTTTCGGACGAAGAGAACGGGAGCGCCGTATGGCGAAGAGCTAGGCTGAATCCAGCCTTTCTCAAGAAGGTCGTCGAGTTGTGCCCTAGCACACTTAACTCTTCCTC